TCAGATTGCTCCAATCCTTGCCCACGGGTTTTCCTTCATCACTCTCTCTTTAGGGTTCTTTTTTTGCCTTTAGAACTCAGAAAATCAGAATCCTTTGTCTTTTGCCCGAGCAGCCCTTTTATAAGCTGAGAATCCGCGAGTTACGATCATAACTTGGCTTGCCCGCTCCAATCCTTAGCTACAAGAATCCTTGGCACCCTTCACTCTAGAGTTACGGCTCCTTGAGGTAAGTTACGGACCAGACTGTAACTTTCAAGGTCTGGTTGTAACTCCCAGGTGCTCTCTACCCATTCGCTCCATAATGTCCCAAAAAATGCTCATTCGCACCCGTTCACGCAGTAGGGCCTGAAACATCATAAACTAACACCAAGCGTAAAGCAGGCCACGAGAGTGATAAACCAGAATCAAATGATCAAGAAATGATGGGGAAAACATGTTCGAATATAGTGTTATCACTTGTCCGCAAGCAAACCATTTTCAACCAAGGTAATATCTCAACCTAAGAAGATGACTTAGGGACGAATCAAAGGGCACAAAGTGGTGGATCTCAATGGCTAGTAGTAGTGGGCATCAACACATGAACTGCTACAAACAATACTAGCATCGACCATAAACGACATCCAAATGCATCAAGAATGTGCACCTATTGTAGCTCCCACATAGAAAGAGTATTGCATGTGTTGCGACACTATAACTTTGCCAGGTTAACTTGGATGCGGCTACTCCAGGCTTCTGAATACCAGACTTTCTTCAGTTTGTCACTGCAGGAATGGATTGCGAAGTACCTATCTGAAGAGGACCCTGGCTTGGCCATCAGGATCACTTGCTGGTCCCTGTGGCAGACCAGGAACGACCGAGTTTTTCCAAACAAGGTCGTCTCAGTTGAAGCTTTTCAACAACGCGTCCTGGCTTGGTTAACTGTCGTGAGGAATGCCATGGACAAAGACAGGATCGTTCACCATCCATGTCTGCCCGCTAGAACGGAGGAGATGATCTCTTGGAAGCCTCCTCCTCCCGAGTGGGTTACTCTCAACTCTGATGGCTCTGTTCATCAGGATTCAGGCTTTGTTGGCTGGGGGCCTGATCAGAGATCATTTAGGATGCTGCATTGGAGCGTTCGCTTATAACTTTGGGATCTGCTCGATCACCCGAGCGGAGTTGAGAGGCGTTGCAGAAGGGCTTCAACTGGCCTGGGATATGGGTTTTCGACACATGAGGGGGTAGTTGGATTCCAGATGCGCTGTCGACCTTCTCAGCAACAACGCGCACCCAGATCATCAGCATAGTGCTATTACCGACCGTATTCAGACGTTGTGTAGGCGTGATTGGGATGTTGTCTTTTATCATGTTTATAGAGAGGATAACAAGTGTGTCGATTACCTTGCTAGCCAAGGCCACTATTTGTCACAAGGTTTCCATTCTTTTCCTGTTGATTCCCTTGCTTCGCCTCTATCGAATATACAGGGAATTGGAGGTAGCATTCTACCGATGTTAAGTCATGGACTCGTTTCTTCAGCCCTTTTCATGAACTACATTTAAGCACACTTCTTCGCCCTATCTTGCTATCCACAACTCAATCAAAGTAGTGAAGGAGGTTAACAAACAATTTAAGTGCTTCAATGGCTTTAATGCCAAGAAACCCTATCTAAAGCATACATTTAGACGTTGGTGGCAACTCTTAACTTTTATTTACCCCGTTTTATTACCTCTTTTTTGTTTCCCTTTTTTGTTTTTACTTTCCTATTTCCTTGTATTTTTCTTCTTCTTTTTCGAGGGGGTACTAGAGACTTAAACATTTTCCAACTTAACACTTAATGAACAATGCTCTCTATTAAGTACTTTCCTCCAACACTACCTTTTCATTCCTAGCAAGGACCGTGAAAAATCCACATATGTAGAACCTCAATGGAGCTCAAGAGTGAGAGCTCCGGGATACAAGGATGACTAACAACGGTTTAGACACGAAGAAAGGATGAGGGGTCATTCTATTATCACCATTAAGCTCACAAGCACGAAGCTCCTAAAATTGGAACGACCCCCAAAGTCACACGGCTCAAAGGGTTGAGTAGGGGATAAGATGTTTCGAGACAATCAACTTTTGGGCGTGAACTAATCCTATGCCTCCATCATACTCACTAGTGACAACGGTGATGTTACAAACCATGGTGAGAGGGATCTATCACACATGATAAAACCGATCGACACAAATCTCACATGGCTACCTAGCCACCCAATCGTCTATTCCAATTTCACAAATTTCCAGGCAAGGCAATTATGATCAAAGAGTAAACAAGTCAAGACATCCGTTCATTTAAGCACACATAAGAACTAAGCTTTTGCGCACACCTAATGCAATTCTCATCTCACTCGATCACATGCAACAATTCAAGGTCAATACCAAATAAACATGAGATTCACCCGCAAACCGGCCACTTCGATCATGCATTGCTTAAAGCCCTCAAAATTTTGAAATTTGGGCATACATCAAAGCTCCAAGCATTCAATCGCACACACAAGTATAATGATAAACTACCTCCCCCCCCCCCCCCCCCCCACGCTTAAGCTCGACATTGCGCTCAATGGCGTAAAATAGGGGGTATAACGATGTTACCGCATGGCTTGGTGAGTGAAAGTTGGACAATTTCTCGGGGTAGGAGGTTTAAGCTTCAAAGAGAAGACAAGCAAAACACAAACACACGCACATTCTCACTCTAGGCGAGGTTATTACAGATAACAATATTCCACATCACAATAAAAGGACTAACGTCTGTTGGGTTGCCTCCCAACTAGCACTAGTTTAATGTCTTAAGCTAGACGGAGACATCATACTAAACTTCTTGTAGGAGCACCACCTCCTTTTGGGGCATTACCTCTCCTCCAAGGTAATGTTTGAGGCGGTGTCCGTTAACTTTGAAGATCCCTTGCTCCGGGTGGGAAATCTCCACCACCCTGTATGGAAACACTCGGTTGACCGCATATGAGCCTAACCATTTTGATCTCAACTTTCTAGGGAATAGACATAACCGAGAGTTGTACAAAATCACCTGCTCCCCCTGTTGAAAGTCTTCCCCCCTTTGAGTCTAGCATCATGCAGGCGCTTTGTCTTCTCCTTGTAGATCTTCGGGTTCTCGTAAGGATGAAGAGGCCATTCCTCGTGTTGTACCACTTGTAACTTCCTTTCATTTCCACACAAAGTAGGGTTCATATTTCAACAGTTTGGTGGCCCAGAAAGCCCTGTGCTCTAGCTCTACGAGAAAATGACACGCTTTCCCGTACACCAATTGGTAAGGCGAGATGCCTATTGGTGTTTTGCAGGCTGTGCGGTACGCCCATAGAGCATCAACCAGTTTCAAAGACCAATCCTTGTGAGATTGGTCCACGGTCTTTTCCAATATCCTTTTCCGTTCCCTATTTGACAATTCTACCTGACCACTTGTCTGAGGGTGGTAGGCCATGGAGACTCGGTGGGTTACACCATAGCGATTGAGGAGTTTATTGAATTGCCCTTGGTAATGGGTTCTTCGATCAGTAATGATGCCCCAAACATCGAAAATCTCACATATAATGGAAACCATTTGGGTCATCTCATTTTAGTTAGAGACATTACCTGTCATTTGGTAGTTATCACAGTGCCGGACAAATGAATTAGCATCCCAAAAAAGCGACGGCCAATAGAATCCCGATTGAAGCACCTCCTTGCGGTGGAATTTCCACCAAGATGCCCTCCAGTTGGTCCGTCGTGAAATTGACTTAGAATGGCCATCATTTCCTTCTCTGATACACACCTTCGAATGATCCCATTGGCCCCAATCCGAAAAAGGCGAGGATCATCCCAAAAGTAGTATCAGAGGTCAGAAAGAAAATTTCTTTTTTCCTTTGTATTCATCCCCTTTGGTAGCTGCCTTCTGACCAAATAATTTGCGAAGTTGGCGAACCACGGGGTGAAGCTCTCAACCAAGCCAAGCACAAATAACCTCTCATCGGGGAATGTGTCATTTATCTCACCTTGGAAAGTGCTCCCCCCGGGACTTTCAAGTCGGAAGAGGTGGTCCGCCACAAGATTTTCAGCTCCCTTATTGTCTTTGATCTCCACATTGAATTCGAGGAGAAGTGATCGAACCTGGTATTAGGGTTCTATCGGATCTGGTTGTGAGATTGGGAATTAGGGATTTAAGAATAGAATTAGGGATTTGAGAAGAGAAAGATAGAGAATCGGCCTACGCCTTTAGAGGGATTGAGATCTAGAACTGAGAGGATTGGGAGATTAGGGTTTAGGAGAGTTTTCTTATTATTCTTATTGACTTCTATGAATGAAGACCAATTACATATTTATAGCAAAAGACTAGAAAAACCTAATAGACTTTCCTTATACAACTCAATGACTACTAACCTTATCTAATAATAAATCCTAATAATATTAATTATATTAATTATAATAGAACCTGTAAATTGGGTTTTCATCATCCCTTCCACCTTGAAACCAACCTTGCCCTCAAGGTTGACCAACTCAACCCACTTATTTGCTCTTCTTGTGTCACACAAAAGTTGTTTCTTTTGTTTCTTTTGATTTCGTTTCTTCCAATCATGCTCCGGATCACGAACGGGTGCAACATTATCATCTCTCAGTTTCATCGATTTGTTTCCTACCTTGTGGATTACGTGACCACGGACCCATGAGTCTATTTTTTCTCCTGCCAATTCCACCAAACAAACCACGTCACTTCCCTCTTCAATCTCTAACGGAGTATTCTTCACGATTGGGCCTCTGACAATCCCATTAAACCCATCTTCCACTTCCTTATCTTTAGTCCAAGCTGGCCCATGCAATTTCGTTGGCGGCCCGATTCCTCTTTGGATGCGAAGCCCATTGACGTATTTAGTTAACTCTCCAAATGCCTTTGGACCATGAGCTCTTGAAAGTCCACTAGCTAAGCCCTCAATTTCATCTACCTTCACAATCAAGCCCACACCATATAAAAGATATTCAACTAGACCACTCTTGGGCCCAACGTAATCCAAAAGTCGCAGCCCGATTGTGCTGGTGAAGCCCAATATATCCTGTCTTTTCGCTATCAGAATGTACAACCCATCAGACTCCTTTTTAGGCCCATGATCACTCTCAGGCTCAGCCCACTTCCAAGTTGCAGTCCACTTTGTTGATTAGTGAGGCCCAAGGTAAGCCCGATCGGAGTCTTCTCTCGGCCCACCCGGAGCGTTGCAGTGTTCAGTTGGTCACGCCAGCATAATTGGCCATTCCCCACCAACCTACCCGCTTCACTCGGCCCATCACAAAAACCGGCTCAACCTTCTTCGCTGAACTAGGCTCGACACAGCTGTGCTGTGCGAATTGAGGTGGAGTTAGGGTTTGGGCGAAGAATGTCGCCGCCGCCGACCTCCCTCTTCGTCTCACTCGTCAGCACATCCTTCTCCGGCGACTCCTTTCCCAGCGACGCGAGTAACAGCTCACCGACACTGATCTCCTTCTTCTCTCTATTCTCCTTTCCTGGCGAGTCCCTCCGCGTCGTTTTCTTCTTCGACGGTGGACAGGCCGCTGTCGCCGCAACTAGAGCTTCCGCCAAGCTCGCCATCTCATTCCTCCCGACCGTCATAGTCCTGAAGGGAGCGGCCGTGGAGGTTAATCCCTGCAACGGCGACATTGCCGGTGCCGGGAAGCGACCAGAGGTTTCTCCCTCTCGAGCTCCGACCATATGAGGAGCCCTACCACTAGAGCAAGAAGTTGGTATGGCCCATTTCATACCTAATCCCATGGACATTTGGAGGTGAAGCCCATTGACGTGTTTAGTTAACTCTCCAAATGCCTATGGACCATGAGCTCTTGAAAGTCCACTAGCTAAGCCCTCAATTTCATCTACCTTCACAATCAAGCCCACACCATATAAAAGATATTCAACTAGACCAATATGGGGCCCAATGATAAGCCGTTAATTGCACATGTTTTTACCCCTATTCTGGAGCCGTTTGAGATGGTAATTCTCGTGTTTTAGGCCGATTTCACTCTAGGTTGTGTTTGTTTGTGATATTTCAGGTCCTAGCAAGTGAATGAAGGTTTAGGAGCGAGTTCGAGGTTGATTGGACGAAGATCGGGCGCGAGGCAAGTCAAAAAGGAGGCCACACGGGCACACCCACAACTCACACGGCCGTGCAAGTGACCACTTTGGCCGTGTGAGATTGTGCGAGCCTTCACACGGCTTGCCCTGATATCCACACGGCCGTTTGAAGGAGTGGTTTGGCCGTGTGGAATTATGCGAAGCTTCACACGGCCAGGCAGGGTGATCCACACGGCCGTGTGACCCTGGCCGTGTAGGAAGCCTGAAGTGCAACTTATCGGGACGCAGCGTTTTGAAGTCACACGGGCAACTGGGTATGCCACACGGTCGTGTGGCCCTGCCCGTGTGAGTCGGGAATTGCTGGTTAAAACCCGATTTTTAGGAAAAGGAGAGGAGAGAGCTGGGTTTTTGGTTCCCAAACACCCAAGGGACGAACCATAGAGAGAGAGAGAGAGAGAGAGAGCGACTTGGTAACATTCTTGGAGCTATTTTGGAGGATTTCTTCGCCATTAGAGCTCGGGAATCAAGCTTGGAGATGGAGATTGAAGATCTAGATCAGATTTCTGCAGTCTCTCTCTTCTCTATGGAGTAACTTCCCTTCACTTAGGTTTTGAGGAACCCTAGTTCCATGAGTTAGGATCTTTCTTGTATGAAGTTTTGGATGCTATATTGTTTGATTTTAATTGAATGATGCATGTGTATTGAGTCAATTGAAGTCTAATCAACTTTTCTTGATTCCTGCTGCAATCTGAGATAGATAGAATCTGATTAGGTTGCTAGAGTCTCATCATTCGGTAGTAGGAGATTGGCTATACGAGAGTTAGCCAGTTTACTGCTTTGTACTGGAATCCAATTCCAGTAGTGGAGTTCTGTGCTTATTGCTTCAGCTTTCTATCCCGGTGAAGACTAGTCGTCTGCCGGATAGTTAGACTGAGAGGGCTTGGTCAGCTTAAGAGATTCCAAGCTACTGTCGGATCTTCCGCAGTTTAATCAACAGTAAAACAACCAAAAGGAATTACAACTTGGACCTAATTGAGGAGCTAGGGGGAATCATACCTAAGTGAGTTCCCAAACTGTAATTAGTAGTTTTACTTAGTTTAGTTAGTAGAGTAGTTTAGTTAATCAATCCTTAATCTAGTTTGCTAGATAATGAACTGAAGCTGAGTAATAGTAACTCTAGAGACCCGTGGATTCGATATTTATTACTTGTGCCACTATACTGCAGTCCCTTTCATTGGTTACACTTGGCCATTGTTAGGTGTTGTGTTTTAGAGCATCACCCAACGTTATCCAAAAGTCGCGGCCCGATTGTGCTAGTGAAGGTCAATATATCCTGTCTTTTTGCTATCAGAATGTACAACCCATCAAACTCCTTTTTAGGCCCATGATCACTCTCAGGCTCAACCCACTTGACCCCAAGTTGCAGTCCACTTTGTTGATCTGTGAGGCCCAAGGTAAGTCCGATCGGAGTCTTCTCTCTTCCCACCCGGAGCGTTGCAGTGGTCAGTTGGTCACGCCAGCCTAATTGGCCATTCCCCACAAACCTACCCGCTTCACTCGGCCCATCACAAAACCCCGCCCAACCTTCTTCGCTGAACTAGGCTCGACCCAGCTGTGTTGTGCGAATGGAGGTGGAGTTAGGGTTCAGACGAAGAATGCCGCCACTGCCGACCTCCCTCTTCATCTCACTCGTCGGCACCTCCTTCTCCGGCGACTCCTTTCCCAGCGACGCGAGTAGCAGCTCCCCGACGCTGATCTCCTTCTTCTCTCTATTCTCCTTTCCTGGCGAGTCCCTCCGCATGGTTTTCTTCTTTGACGGTGGACAGGCCATTGTCGCCGCAACTAGAGCTTCCGCCAAGCTCGCCATCTCATTCCTCCCGACCGTCATCGTCCTAAAGGGAGCAGTCGTGGGGGTTAACCTACAACGGCGACATTGTCGGCGCCGGGCTGGACTAGAGTTTGCTCCCTCTCGAGCTCCGACCATATGAGGAGCCCTACCACTAGAGCAAGAAGTTGGTATGGCCCATTTCATACCTAATCCCATGGACATTTAGTGGTGAAGCCCATTGACATGTTTAGTTAACTCTCCAAATGCCTTTGGACCATGAGCTCTGAAAGTCCACTAGCTAAGCCCTTAATTGCATCTACCTTCACAATCAAGCCCACACCATATAAAAGATATTCAACTAGACCACTCTTGGGCCCAACGTTATCCAAAAGTCGCGGCCCGATTGTGCTAGTGAAGCCCAATATATCCTGTCTTCTTGCTATCAGAATGTACAACCCATCATACTACTTTTTAGGCCCGTGATCACTCTCAGGCGCAACCCACTTGACCCCAAGTTGCAGTCCACTTTTTTGATTTGTGAGGCCCAAGGTAAGCCCGATCAGAGTCTTTTCTCGGCCCACCCAGAGCGTTGTAGTGGTCAGTTGGTCACGCCAGCCTAATTGGCCATTCCCCCACCAACCTACCAGCTTCACTCGGCCCATCACAGAACCCGGCCCAACCTTCTTCGCTGAACTAGGCTCGACCCAGCTGTGTTGTGCGAATGGAGGGGGAGTTAGGGTTCGGACGAAGAATGCCGCCACCGCCAACCTCCCTCTTCGTCTCACTCGTCGGCACCTCCTTCCTCAGCGACACCTTTCCCAGCGACGCGAGTAGCAGTTCCCCAACGCTGATCTCTTTGTTCTCTCTATTCTCCTTTCCTGGCGAGTCCCTCCGCGCCATTTCTTCTTCGACAGTGGACAGGCCGATGTCGCCGTAACTAGAGCTTCCGCCAAGCTCGCTATCTCATTCCTCCAGGCTGTCATCGTCCTTACGGGAGCGGTCATGGGGGTTAATCCCTGCAACGGCGACATTTTTGGAGCCGGGCTGCGACCAGAGGTTGCTACCTCTCGAGCTCCGGCCGTCGACGTGTCCGCCGGGGTCACAATTGAGGTGTTGGGGAACGCGGCGACTTCCGATTCTTCTTCTCCGATCTCAAGCGTCTTCTTTCGAAACTTCCACCCATCAGTCGGAGGATTGGATGGGGATGCTTTCTGGGAGACGCACTCAACGACTTCTCTGATCCCTAGGTTTGCGAGACGGTGACTCGGCCATCAATAATTCAACGAAAGCTGCGGCAACTTTTGTTGTTGGTGGTGGGACCGTGGTGACATCAGCCACAGATGGTGGTAGCAGAACTTGTGATGATGGTGATGATGTTCACCCTCCTGCACCGGTGATTGCATTGGATCATCAGCGCCCTCGGGTCAGGGGATTCCGGCCGTCATCACGTCATCGTCCTCATTTGACTCCGCCGTCGCGGCTGCGACCCCATCAAGAGTTGGAGTCCCTTCCGCAGTCGTGGTGGTGGGTGGCTTGGTTCGCCGCGGCGAGTCGAGGATTCGTAAGATCTTTTCTATCAACCGCAGTCGCTCTGCCGACCGTCGATCCCACTCCTCCTCCCCTCTTCTCAAGGTAGTCTTCGAGTTTTGCTAGGGCGGCATGGGCGGATTCACCTATCTGATAGAGGTTCTGATAACAATCCCCGGATGAGAATTGTGACGAACTCATTCTCGCAACGGGGCTCTGATACCAAATGATAGAACCTGGTATTAGGGTTCTATCGGATCTAGTTGTGAGATTGGGAATTAGGGATTTAAGAATAGAATTAGGGATTTGAGAAGAGAAAGATAGAGAATCAGCCTAGGCCTTTAGAGGGATTGAGATCTAGAACTGAGAGGATTGGGAAATTAGGGTTTAGGAGAGTTTTCTGAATATTCTTCTTGACTTCTATGAATGAAGACCAATTACATATTTATAGAGAAAGACTAGAAAAACCTAATAGACTTTCCTTATACGGCTCAATGACTACTAACCTTAGCTAATAATAAATCCTAATAATATTAATTATAATAATCATAATAGAACCCGTAAATTGGGTTTTCGTCAAGAAGCAAAGATGACTGCCAATAATTCCTTTTTAGTGATGTTCACGGACGGATTGCTATTTTCACCTTCCTATCCCTCTCCTCACCTCCCTACCCTTCCTACTTGAGTCTCCAGGTTAGTTTTCAGCTCTACCTTATTTATTTTGGGAGAATCGATTAGATAGTGAAGTGAGGAGAATTTTAGTGAATTGAATGTTGAACTTAGCATTAGGGCGAGGAATTAGGTGAATTAGGATGAGTGAATGATAGAATGATGTTGCTTGAGCTTAGTTGAGCCTTGATGGGCTTGTTTTTATTCAAATTGCTTTTATTTTAGAAATTTGCCCACCAAGTGCTAATTTTTGAATGATGAGATATGTTTTGCTTAAGTGGTGGTTGGTAGCCACCGTGGCATGGTTCGGGTTTGAATTTTTGTGTGCGATAATCCGTGAACACCTCAAACCATGTCTCGCTGTGCTAGTGCTTAATTGTTTTGACTAGCATGGATCCGTACTGGAAATATAAGTTTGGGGGGAATTCCTTTTTCCTCCCGATGATCAGAGATTGACAATTATTTCCACGTATGGTGCATGTTTGTCGATTTTGGAGGATGTTGAACGTGGAGCACGAGTACATCAGCTACTTGGTGAAGCACGGAAGGTTCATGACCAAGTTTGCATACCAGAGGGACAGCCCAATTGAACCACATTGGCGGCTGGAACTGGACGTGTTTAACTTGTTCAGGTGCCAACCCGCGATATCAGGGGTCGCCTATCACCCCCAGTGGTGCTAGTTGTTGTCTATGGACGAGCTCATCTACCACCAGCTCTGCGTGGAGTTCTACTTCACCTTCGCCGACGTCGTCCCGGCCAGCAAGAAGAGTCGACCCTACGTGCAGTTTATGCTGGACGGCCAGTCACAGGTGCTGACTTATGATGCATTCGCCAAGGCCATGGGGCTCTACACGACATATATGATGATGACGGTGTGGCAGTACTCTGTCGACTTCCATTACCAGGCCGCTTTCCAGGCCCTCTTCCGCTCCGAGCACGAGCAGGACGAGTTCAAGGCTAGCTGCACGAACGCGGTGAGGCTGGGGATGTCTTGGAGGATCATGCACACGCTGCTCACCCGATCTGTCGTCCCCAGCTCGTAGTCAGGCCATTTTCTCATGAACAGAGGCCTGTTTGCTCTCTTTTCGATGAGGCATATAGCAAAGCCGATCTACATGGGATCTCTAATAGACACCTCTTTTGCCCGGTGTCTGGGGCGGAACAGGGTGGACACTATGAACATGGGGGGCATCATCACGAGGTTTGCCCGACACTTTCAGGTGGATCTGGAGCAATGCTCCATCATTGGCCACACAGAGCCTTTCCCAATGGTGAGTCTCTACAACAAGAACCTAGTGCTTCAAGGAGAGCAGGGGGTAGAGTACCTTGAGGGGCGCTGACCCTCAGGAGTCATGAGGTCAGTAGTTGACCCGGCTCTAGTGGAGCCCGATGTAGAGGCCCCACCTCTAGAGAAGCCACCTGCTTGAGCTCCTGGCCGCCGCCGGCGTCCTGCACTCCAGCGCCCAGTACCACCAGCAACAGTAGCACCACCATTCAGTGTCGGTCCTTCCACTGCGGGGGTACCCCTAGTGGAGAGGATGGACCGTCTAGAGACCCACGTCGTGGGCGTCACTTCCCGGCTTGAGCGGCAGACTGACCTGCTCGAGCGGATTGCTTGTCGCCAGGGCCTCCTTCCAGATGATGAGCCGGGGCCTTTGACCCAGTGAGAGGTAGCTGATGAGTAAGACATGTGGCAAAGCCGATTACTTCCGCCCCACTTCTCCAATTGGAACTCTGAGCTCTATTATTTTATTTTTCTTTCTTTTATTTAGTATGTGTGAACAACTACTACTATCGTATTGTGTTATGTAATAACCTCGCCTCGAGCGAGTATGTGTAGTGTTTGTGTGTGTTTTTTGTCTTCACCTTGAAGTTAAACTCTCTTACCCAGAAAAATTCCAACTTTCACTCACCAAGTGATTCGGACCTAATTGCACACATTTTATCCCCGTTTCCCTTGGGCGTTTGTGGCATTTGTGCTCCTAAAAGGTTGGTTTTAAGCTAGGTTTTCTATGTTTCAGTGTGTTTCAGGATCCAACAGGCGAAACAAGCCCTAGAGTCGAAAGTTGGAAGAAAAGAGACAAAGACCAGGCAAAGAGGGTGATTCAGGCCATGTTCACGGTTTTACATTGGAGTTCACGGTCTCCTAAGGCCATGAACTGAAGCCATAAACCATGAATCGCGATGCGTCCAGGGCGACTTTTGTGGTTACTGACGCAAGGTGAGTTCACGGTCACCAAGACCGTGAACTTTGAGTGCAAACCGTGAAATCAAGTGAGTGAAGCGGTGGGTTTCGTCACAACACTCTAAGTTCACGGATGCGTTGAAGAGTTCACGGCTGTGAACTGAGCCCGGTCCCAGTATAAAACATGAGCTGACAGGAAGAGAGAGGGAGTGCCCAAGTGTAAGAAAGCACCTTCTTCTTCAATTTTAGAGAGAGAGAGGACGAACCAAAGGATAAAGGAGGCTGGGCTTTGTTCCAAGTGGTGAGTTGAGGAAATCTCCTCAAGAGAAGATCAACACAATTTCAAAGGAGAGTGGAGGCATTTCCATGATGGTTACTACTTCTTTCTTTTGTGTTCTTCCCCTTTCTAGCATGGAGTAGTTACCTTTTTCACTTGGGTGTTGTGAAATCCTAACTATTTGCCATGTAGTCGTAGTATGAATTGAATGATTGTTTATGGATGTTGTTTAGTTTTTTGATTGAGGTATTTTCATGTTGATTGTGCATGTTTGTGCTTAGCTATCTAATTGACCATTCTAACCTAGGTTAGAGGGGAAAGCCCCCTTTCCAAAGAGGCTCAATTGAGTTGGGATTTCTTGGGCTTTTCAAGCCACCTACCTAGGTTAATGTAGGGCAAACCTCTATCTTGAATTAAACGACTAGGTTAATCGTGATTAAATCGTCCAACCATCGATTTGAGGGAGAAGGTAAGTCAACCCTCAATTTCCTTAACCAAGAGGGCTATTCTAGTAGCCTATAATGTATCCCTTGGTTTGGCAATTGAGAGTGTGGTCTTCGGTTATAGTTGCATGCACCTCCTAGCAGTTCACGATTACCTAGCCCATAACGTCCCATTCGAGTCCACGTGCTATGGTAGTAGTTAGGGGGAAGCGACACCCGAGTGATCCTTCTCATCTAGAGCTTTCAAACCATTTACCTTTGCTTTGTTTAATTTAAACCTCATAGTTTTCAACCAAAAACCAATCCACTAGATAATGTTTCAAACAACAAAAGTAGGGGTACATGGACTGGCCCGGGTTGATATTTAAACATACTTGCCCTGTTTTGCACTCATCTAAGGTGTATACTTGGGCCTTAGGTGGGATTTTGTTGTGATATTCGGGACGAGTCAATTTTTTGGTGCCGTTGCCAAAGAGCTTTGGTCCGTTATCTTGAAAAAGTTGTTTGGTGTTAATCTAGCTTTTATTTCTCATATTTGTTTGTGTGAGTGCTTTGCTTGTGCTAGACGTGGTGTTCTTCTCTAAGTGTGCGCAGGGAGGTGTATGACCCGGAGCAATCCCTCGCCTTTAGTACCACTTGACGAGAACATCAACATGACTCTTCAACTCCTAGCTCGGGAGAGGGAGTTAGCGAAAGCAAGGAGGAGAAGTGAAGAAAGGGGACAACAATTGTGTCCCGGTGTTAGTGGAGTAGAAGTTCAAGGAGTTGAAGGTGAAGGTGATATTGGAGTTGAGATGGCTGAGAACCAACAAGGAGGAGGAGCCGGCCAAGCTCACAACCACAATGATGAGGCAGCATAGGAGGAAGCCCCAAGGACAATGGGGTATTACATGGTCCCACGGCCTACGGACATTCAATCGCCTATCTTACACCCAACCTTGGCGGCCAACAACTTCGTAATCAAGTCGAGCCTCATCACAATGATCCAAAATAATGCTTTGTTCCACGGGCTCACAAGCGAATCACAGAGGGATCATGTGCAAAGATTTCTTGAGCTCGCGGGGATTTTGAAGATAAATGGCGTGCCAGCGGAAGCTTTGCAAATAAGGCTTTTCCCCTACTCACTTTTGAAGAAAGCACTTCGATGGCTCAACAACCAGACGCCTCGCTCAATTACCTCGTGGGATGATCTTCTCAACAAATTCATGACCCGCTATTGCCCTCCTTTGAAAACGACCGAGTGGAGAAAGATCACCCATTTCGAGCAAGATGAACATGAGACCTTGATAGATGCTTGGGAAAGATTCTCCGACTATTTCCTTCAATGCCCTCACCATGGGTTCAAGGAGCAATTTTGGATAGAAACTTTCTATGGTGGGCTTATACATGAAGACAAGATCCTCATTGACTCTCTTTGTCAAGGGAGGTTAATGAACATGACCCCACCTCAAGTGACCTAGTTGCTCTAAGATATGGCTCTTAAAGGATATGATTGGGGTTTGACGAGAGGTGCGAAGAGAGGCAATGAAAGAGGAGAAAGAAGTGTGGGAGCAAGTGCTCCGCTTGAAGCAAAACTTGATAAGTTGATCGAGGTAATTCTTGAGGATAAGAACCTAGGGAAGAGAGCAGTGACGTCTTGCGATTGGTGTTCAAGCACGAATCATGAGATGGCGGATTGCCAAGCAATAAAGGAAGCAAGCACTCCGGAGGAACAAGTCAATTTCGTTGCCAATGCTAAGGGGAACAACCCGTATAGCAATACTTATAACCCTGGTGGAGAAATCATCCTAACTTTTCTTCGTCGTCCCCGACAAATCCGAGACCCCCCGGTTTCCAAGGCCCTACAGGCCATTATCAACCTCGACCAAATTTCATCCAACAACCTTACCAAGTACAAGGTGGTACTACAATAAAGACTGGCAGATGTTACCAGACGATTGGCGTCACAAAAGGCCTTTTCTCGTCACAATAGGGCTGTTTTGACGAAATATGGTCGTTGGTGAGTCATGGGGTAAAGGTCCCTCACTAATAGTTTAAATGTACTTGCGTCAGAAAATCATACATTTGTGACAATTATTTTTTGTCATTGTGCAAAATATCGTGATCAGAAAAAAAAAAGTACTTAACCAAATTGTTTGACCAAATCTATTTTTAAGGGATGAAATATTTTTTGTGAGGAGTACTTTTTGTTAGATAAGCTATAATTGAGGAAAACGTGTTGTTAGTAAAGAAAAAATTCGTTAATAAACAAATGGCATTTTTTTCCGAAAATACCCTTTGTACATTTTGACCACAGTTGTTTGTCGTAAAAGAACATTATTTGTGAGGGTTAATTATGTTCCTAAAACACCCCTGTGGTATTTATAATGAATATCTTGCGTCAGGAAAAACTATTCATAATAATTGTAAATTTAGTTTCCAACGAGAAAATAAGGTCAGAAGAAAATATTGCATATTTGTGATGCAAACGTTTTGTAGGAAGAAACTAATTGATTTAGACCAACTTTTGTGTTCATGTAACCAGATTGTTGCGTTAAAAATAGGATATTTGTCACACAAAATATTCGTCGGCAGAAACATATTACATCTAACCAAATTGTTGTGTTAAAAAAGAATATTTTTAACATAAAATATTCGTCGAAAGAAACATATTAAATCTAACCAAACTGTTGTGTTAAAAAAGAATATTTGTAACACAAAATATTCATTGGAAACGACTTACTAAAGTCTAAAGCTAACCATTTTGTTGCATTACAAATAGAATATTTGAAACACAAAATATTCGTAGGAAGCAACTCGACAATTCTAACCGAATTTCGTGCTACTGTAACCAAATTACATCGTTAAAACTACAATTTTTCCGATTTTGTAAATATTTTTACTATATATTATTAGTGATGAAAACTAAGAAATAATAATAAATTTTATTTTGCAGGTAAATTATTAAAAGCATAAAAGAAATTAACCAATGCAATATATTAGCAAAAAATGAAACTTCTCCATAAAATTAGGTGGCCTAACCACCAAAACTGTCTTAAACGGAGACCACCTTCAACACTTGTTCAAACATAAAACGAAACAACCAAACACTTGTTCAAACATAAAACAAAACAACCAAACACTTAAACAAAACAAAACATAAACATAATCCGATTGAAAAATGGAACTTGAAAAGTTCCTAAGACTGCCTTTTTCCTAGCTGCAAACTTCCGATTGAAAATTGGAACTTGCAAAGTTCCTACTGCTGCCTTCTTCCAAGCGCTGCAAACTTAGTAATCATCATCATCAGGGGGAGCTGTTCTCATCGTCAATACCATCCGCATCTTCATCATTCACTTCCTCGTCTCCATCTTCATCTTCATCTTCATCATTCACCCCCTTGTCTCCAGCCTAAATTACAAAGTAAAATAGATTATGATAAGGTTCATACCATTAATCATGCTCAACCAACTAAAAAAACAGCAACAAACACTTACCATTGAGGAATCTGTCAAAGTAACTCCTAGCCTCTTCAATGTATCCTCGACAATCTGAGGAATTCCATTCTTCACCTGCACTAGCTCTTTTTTCAGCATTCTTATCATCTCATCATTCTTCGCCTTCTCTTGCCTTCGGTCCTCTTCACACCTTTTGCTGCAGCCCTGACCGGAGGTAGGGCCAAAAAAATCAAGACCACTTACTCCATAACCCATTCCTAACACACGTTTCCTAGGCGGTTTTCCTACAACCTCACCATAAATCGCAAACTCGTTCACCTCTTCCCCTTGACTCAACTTCTCAGCTTCCTTATTCTTCAATTCAGCCTACACACATAGTAATTAATAAGTAATACGCTGAGTTTAAAATTACTTAACACGCAATGCACTTACATGTATGGTCTGAGCTTTTAGGATGGTGAATTCACCATTGCCCTTCTTCACATGGAACTTCTTGAATGTCTCTATAGGATTTGGTTCTTTTCCCGTCTTCTTGATCTGCAAACACAAGAAAAAAACAGGAGCAGTGAGCTCACACTTCTGGACCTTGGCTTCGTTATTATTAAATACAAAAGAACATATCGGGTTACCTGATCAAGCCTAAACTTCGCCATGGGAACAGATCCGCCAGTAGCAGTGAGCTCAGACTTCTCACGATTGGCTTTGTTCTTATCACTGGTGCTCTGCCGGAGTGTAAACATACATATGCAAATTAGATACAAACACCAATAATCATAATACACAAGTTTAGACAGCAGTAAATTACCTTCCAGTTTGGATCACTCCACTTGTTAACCATATCCCTCCAAATATGAGCAGGTATTTCAGTAGGTGGATTGTTAATCCTTTCAGCAAGGGTAGGATATTGATTTAAAACTCGGTTGCGGAACCCATACATCCACTGGGAAAAGTTCCTCTTGATGTGTTCCTTGAGATGAACATTGAGTTCTTCTTCTGGAAGAGAGCATGTGAACCCAGATTCCTTGAAACGAGCAATCAAGGTCTGAAGAGCAGAAGCAGGGTACTCCGAGAACTTAATCCATGGACCAATGATGCTCCTTTTGAAGATGGTAGTGAGTTCATGGGCAGCCTGTGGTGTGACGATCCTGAAAATAGAAAATAACGTTCATAAGGCCTCATTCTCAATGGAAATTACAGCTTGTCACATAGAAGGGCAATATCATGATTTATTACCTGTTGTCATGTATTTCAAGGTGAAGGCCATGTCCAGGCTTCACTCCTATTCCAAGACCTCTGCCATTCTTCTTCTGAGCCGAAGAACCTTCCCCAGTAGAGTGAGCCCCTGGTTGAGGTTCACATCCTCTTCAAAAGCTATGTCGTCATTCGGGGGCTGAACTTCTTCATTCTCCAACTCATTCAAATTTTCACCCTCCCTTGTTGCCTGCTGAGTTTCTGGCACGGTTTCATTTTCTTGAGAAACCACTTCGACAGTCTCTAGAGGGGCTGACCTTCCTGGTTCCTCCACTGGCCTTTTGGAAGGCTTTGACTTCCCAGCATTTTTTGGCCTTCCCATCTAGCTAGCACAAGCAGATCAATATAGCTTTTCGTTCTATGTTTTTTATTGTCTGAGGGGAGGGGTTCTGTGTAGGTAAAAGTAATGTGTGAGGACCATCGTTATAAATAGAAGACTCCTAATCAATCAAAGAATCCTAATAAATGTAAACTAGTTTGTTGAGTTGATCCTAGGAATAGGGTAAAGAATTGAAGGCCAAAAACTCAGATGAATCAAGTAACGAGCAGTCACAATTATTATCGAAAGTAAATGCATGTTGTAATTAATTCAATGAATTAAAACCAGTCCAGACGCTTCGTACCTCCCAGAAACGCAGCAATCAATCTCGATAGCCTTCTCGCGTCTTGCGCCTCTCCATCTGATGATGGATTCTCTGCTGTCTCCTTCACTCAGTCTTAAAGCGGCGAGAGTTTCCATAGCGATTTCCATTCGAGGGACGTCTAGGGAACTCAATCAATCGGAGGGAATAATTAGGGTTCGTCGTCTGAAATGAAAATAGAAAAGAGGTGAATTAGAACTCAATCGATCGAAGGGGAGTTTCCCCTCTTTGACACCCACCAGTCGATGCTTATCATCATGCGTCGCCGTTTTTGGTGTTGGAGTGTGGTGTGGTTTTTGTTTTTAAAACGGTGCTGTCTTTTGCAACCACCATCATTTACTTTTTTTTTTAATTGAATAATAATTCTAAAGAGGGATAACGAGTAAGTGATTTAATTGAATAATAATTTAACCCAATTTTTTGAATAAGTGATTTAATTGAATAATATCTATAATTTAACCCAATTCTAAAGAGAGATAACGAGTAAGTGATTTACTTTTTTTTAATTGAATAATAATTTAACCCAATTTTTTTGAATATAAGTGATTTAAATATATTAATAAATTTATCTCTAATATACATAATTTTTTTTTATGAATATAGATATTTTAGCTTTCAAGACTATATTCAAGACCAAATAACAATACCATAATGTATATGTTTAACAAAATCAAAATTGATAATAACGGTAAAAATAACAAGTTCATAATTTAGGAAAGCAAAATTTAGAAGTCATATTACATGATTAGAAATTATTCATAACCCATGCCACGCAAGTTTAAGTTAACATCGTCGTCCTCATCCTCGATAACTCGACCCCCATTAGTCATTTCGTCTTCTTGGTATGCTTGTTCTTCTAAAATTTCCTCGACATCCGCCACATTATAAAAATTCCACGGCCTTGTCTCAACGACCATGTCCCATTCCGGATCTCTGGCACACTGCACATAATACACTTGGGTTACCTGACTTGCCAAAACGAAAGGTTCGTCCGTTGGTCGCCTTCGTCTTCGATGGAGGCTAATAACACCGTGGCCATCCCTCCTATAGCCTACGCCTTTTCGCGTGGTTTCATACCAATCACATTGGAATAACACTACACGAAGGCCTTCGGTATATCGCAACTCTATGATATCTTCAATTACGCCATAGTAAGGAATCCCCACACCTTCCTCACTTCGCACCATGACTCCACTATTTTGACTTGTTTTTCTAATCTCGTCATCTTGCGTGTGAAATCTAAATCCATTGATGCAATAGCCTGAGTAGTGCAAAACTCGTTTGTCCGGCTCTCGAGACAAAGTCAACATAGAGGGATGCAAAGTTGCAACATTGTCATCAATCATTTTGGCCACCTGCATCATGAAGCAATTTTTTTGTTGGCTTGTACACGAATATCATAATACGACAACACTTCAAAATTTTCGTGTCAAAATAGTTATTTACCTGAATAGCGAACCACTTTTGGAATTCTTCCCTGTGCACTCTCTCAACCATTCGCACACCGCGTCCAGCCAAAAATTCCTTATGTTGTCTATATATAGTATACATACATAAGCAAATTCTTAAAATAATGATTATTGTAGCAATACACACATTATTGAAGAAGTATAAATTGCAGCCAAAAATTCCTTATGTTGTCTATATATAGTATACCTCCTAAAATCCTCGACTTCGTCACAGTTTTGCAAGACAGAAAATGTTGCAGCCTTGAACAAATCATCATTAAAGTCCTTCATGATGAATGTACCAATAAAACGACCGACACGTGGCAAAATGGACAAATTATGTGGGTGAACGGTTCCCTCCGGAATACTATCATCATTTCTTTCAGGACGATTAAATCGAGTTTCCACATCCGTCATGTATTGCGAGCAAAATGTAACGCACTCATCAATCACGTATTCTTCAGCAATAGATCCTTCTGGTCTTGCCTTGTTTCGAACCCAACCTTTCAATTTCTTCAAATACCTAGTTAAAAAGGTAGGAAAGATTAATAATTAATCCTCTTCATCGGACAACACTTCAAAAACAATAAATTTTTAGACATGTTTCAAGAATTAGTAAAAAACAAATTGATCAAATTGACTCATTTCTAGATTGATTCATCCAAACGACCCCTTAAACATCATAGTTTTCAACTAAAAATCAATCTGCTAGATAATGTTTCAAACAACGGAAGTAGAAGTACATGGATCGGCTCGGGTTGATATTTAAACATACTTTCCCTATATTGCATCCATCTAAGGTTTATACTTGGGCCTTAGGTGGGATTTTGTTGTGATATTCGGGACGAGTCACCAAGCCAAGCGGTAACATCGTTCTGCCCCTATCTTACGCCATTGAGGGCAATGTCGAACTTACCGGGGGGGGGGGTAGTTTATTTTTATGCTTTGTGAGTGTGTTTGATGCTTGGAGCCTTGATGTATGCCCAAATTTGAAAATTTTGTGGGCTCCAAGCAATGTTTGCATTATCAAAGTGGCCGGTTTGTAGGAGAATCGCGTGTTTATTGCCATTGACCTTGAGTTGTTGCATGTGATCGAGTATGTCCTATGTGATGATTGAGAGGTGCATTAGGATAGTGCAAAAGTTTAGTTCTCATGTGTGCAAAATGAATGGATGTTTTGACTCGATTACTTGTTGACAAGGTTGTTAAACCGGTTTATGCCAGTGTGTCGGTTTAGCAAGTGGAATGGTTCGACCGGTGGCATATACTAGTTTGTGCCGGTTCATGTCGGTCAATATTACAAATAAAATTATAAATACTCATATTTAAACATGACATTTAACGTCATACTTAAACATATATACTTGAATCCAACAAATAACATCAATATTTAACTTTTATACTCATAAGATAAATAAATAAAATTATTTTTATCAATTAAACTCGCTAAAATAAGACCATTTTACTTAGAGATTCGTATATCGATCATGCCAGTCATACCGGTGATGTCACGCCGGTTTTATGACCGGTATCGGTTGAACCAGGTTCAACCGGTGGCACGCCGGCCGGCGTGACAACCATGCTTGTTGATTACAATTGTCATGCATTGTGTTTTGTGAAATTGGAATGAATGATTGGGTGACTAGGTAGCCATGTGAGTTTTGAGTCGTTCGTTTTATTCTTGTGTACTTAGATCCCTCTTACCATGACGGGTAACATCACAGTTGTCACTAGTGAGCATGATGGAGGAATAGGATTAGTCCACGCCCAAATGTTGATTGCCCCAAAATGCTTTATCCCCTAGTCAACCCCTTTGAGCTTTGTGACTTTCGGGGTCGTTCTTTTGTATGAGCTTTTGGCTTGTGAGCTTAATGGTGTTTGATAGAACGACCCCCCATCCTTTCTTCGTGTCTAAACGTGATTCGTCCTAGTGTCCCGGAGCCCTTGCTTTTGAGTTCCATTGAGTTTCTACATAGGAGGATTGTGTGCAGTTCTTACTAGGAATGAAAGAGAAAATAGTAGTGTTGGAGTGAATTCTTAAAAGAGAGCATTGGTTGTTAAAGATAAAGTGGCAAGTGTTTAACTCTCTAGCACCCCCCTCAAAAATAAAAACAAAAGAAAAGGAAAGTAGAACGAAAAAGGAATCGAAAAAGAGGTAATAAAACGGGGTAAATAAAGTAGAGAGTGCCACAAAAGATTCAAAGAGTATTCTCTAAGTGGGGTTTCTTGGCACGCAATCCATTGAAACCCCCCACATTGTTTTAGAACTCCTTCACTACCAAGTCGACATGTGATAGCAAGAGTAGACTGAGGAAGAGCTCTTAAAGGTAGTTCATAATGGGTGATAGTTTGGAAGGGAGAAGCAAGGTTTTTGGCCGATGCTAGTGGCCATTTCTTGTAGGGAAGGTTCATAGTCAAAACCATAGAACCTTCGGGTTTAGGGTGAAGATGTAGGACCTCATGATGTGTTTGCCACCACCCAAAAAGCCTTTTCCCAGGCCCAAGACAATTGCCAGTCATTTGAACCCATGTCTAAGACCTCCGGACAAGTTAGTGATGATAAACATCCCCTGAACTCAAACATTTAAAGGTTGACGCCGTGGTGAAGAGACTATAGGGTCGAGTGTTGATGATTGTGCACATTCTTTGCACCAAAAAGGTCTCGACCCCAATGGTGAAGAGAGTGAGTGATTCATTCTTGCTTTGCATGACATATCATACCCCGGTGAGGACCTTTGTTGCCCATTCGTTTGTTCCTTGGACTTGAATGTTATGCATGGTTAGTTGTGGTTGATAAGTGATCTTGTTGAGACTTGCATTGATTCAGGAACAAGGTGGGAACTTTTTGTTTGCCCGTTTTTGGTCACCTTGAATGTCGTTTGTGGTGGATGTCGGTATTGCTTGCAACGGACCATGTGTTAATTGCCAATAGCCATTGAGATTCGCCACTTTTTGCCCTTTAATTTGTCCCCGAAGCATTTTAGTTAGGTTGAGAGATTACCTCCTGTGAAATGGTTTGCTTTGGGACAAGTAAACGTCTAAGTATGTGTGTGTGTGGGGGGGGGGGGGGCTGATTCAGGCCTAGTTGTACACTTTTTATCCCCGTTTCGCTTTGATGTTTGTTGCAATTGAGCTCCAAAAGGGGTGGTTTACGCGAGGTTTCTTGTGTTTCTGATCCTTACAGGTGAAATCAACCCCGGAGTCGAAAGTTGGAAGGAAAGGAGCAAAGACCGGGCGAAGAGGAGGAGACAGCCGCATTACACGGTATTACAGGACCGTGAACTAGAGCCATAATCCGTGAACCAAGGAGCGTCAAGAGAGAGATTTGAGTTTAGTGACGACAGGGCTGTTCACGGTCGCTAAGACCGTGAACATAAGCCACAAACCGTGAACCCAAGGATGTGAAGAGGTGTGTTTTGGTTCAGACACCGTGTTCATGAACGCATTTCGATTTTCACGGCCGTGAACTGGGCTCGAACTCGGTTTAAAGAGCCAGCTGAAAAGAAGAAAAAGAAGGGGGAACCTAGGGGGAAAACTTCTTCTTCTTCAGATTTTAGAGTGAGAAAGTGACTAACAAATAAAGAGGAGAAGATAGGGTTACATCTCCAAGCAAGGATTTGGAAATTCATCCCCCAAAGGAGGATCTCTCAACACAAGGAGCA